GAGAGAGAGAGAGAGAGAGAGAGAGTCTGTGTGTTCAGTGTTCACTGCTCTCTATCATTCTTTGTTTGGCAAAGGACTGACCGAGATACCTGCCTGTATGGAAAATTCGCGAGGTACATATATCATGTATGTAAATATAGATATTAGGGCCCAGTACCAACTTCATTTTCCCTACAGGCTACAGGATACTGCTACCCAAACTGCGAATAGCAGACCCGGGCTACCCCTAGGATAGACAGGCCCTACGGGCCTATGCTGATAGACGGTCCTATAGCTTATAGTCGGGTAGGGTTAGGCCCTAGAGGGCCAATAGAGGCCCTAGAGTCTCTACCTGCCTGTATGGAAAATTTGCGAGGTACATATATCATATATGTAAATATAGATATATGGGCCCAGTACCAACTTCATTTTCCCTACAGGCTACAGGCTACTGATACCCAAACTGCGAATAGCAGACCCGGGCTACCCCTGGACAGACAGGCCCTACGGGCCTATGCTGATAGACGGTCCTATAGCCTATAGCCGGGTAGGGTTAGGCCCTAGAGGCTAAAAGTGGTCAGTCAATGTGGTCTAGGTCGGTCTAGGCTATGTGTAGATTATAGATAGGATGTGGACACCAGAGGTCTGATGTGTTGGAGTACGTGCTGCACTGCTGAGTCAGTGCTGACGCTCCTCAGGAGTAGGGTCTCGGGCTCCCGGACTCCGTGTGGCGATCCAGCCATAGCTGCATCTTCTCAGAGATTATCATCGTCTGGACTTCATCTTCATCAGGTACTGTTTGCGGTGAGCTTCTACTTCATCATCTGAGTGGCGATCGCCGATTGGCTCTGGGAGCCCATTTCACTTTCGCGCAGGCCACTGAGTTGGATGTCAGGGTGGCGCTGGGCCGCTGGCCCACTGCGTGTTACCTAGGGTGTTGGGGAGGTTCGGGTTTCGTAACTTTTGTTGCTGTTTTTTAGTTGTTCAGGGTGTTGGGGTTGAGGCGCTACCCCTTTCAGGGTAGCGCAACAGGGTTCTGAACTTCTGAGGTTATTTTAGTTGAACGATGCTCTGAGTTCAATAAACAGTGTTAATACTGTGTTTGAGTTGTCATCTCTCCATTGCTTTCTGGTTGTGAATCTTGCGATCACTCGGTTGTTATCTATGAATGATTGTTGTGGATTGAATTCACTGAATTACGTATTCTGTCACTTCACTTCTCTGAGTCTTCCGTTTAGTTTCTTCTTCTGGGCGGCGGGACACTCCAGACTCCAGTACCTCTCCCCCTTTTTTTGTGCTTGTATGGGCGTGCACGGGAGTTCCGGTGAGTGAGTATTGGCCAAAGTTCAACAGACAGTCATGTTCATAGCATATGTGTGTGTGTGTGTGTGTGTGTGTGTGTGTGTGTGTGTGTGTGTGTGTGTGTG